TTTTTTTTTTTTTTTTTTTTTTTAGTTTTATTGGTTTCAGAGAGAGAGGAAGGGAGAGCGAGAAAGAGATAGGAACATCAGTGATGAGAGAGTCATTGATAAACTGCCTCCTGCATGCCCCCTGCAGGGGATCGAGCCCGAAACCCTGGCATGTGCCCTGACTGGGAATCGAACCTCAATCTCCTGGATTGTAGGTCAGTGCTCAACCGCTGAGCCATGCCGGCTGGGCTAGTAGCTGCCCTTTTTTTTTCAGGGTCATGTTCGCTAAGAAGGAATGTTTTTATCATTGCTTATTTCTGAGTACAATGCAACCTGTAAATGGCATCAAAGCCAAATACAGATGTAGTTGCTGGACAGCCAGCCAGGCTCACTCTACCCCAAACGACTGACTTGCTCCCCACACACCAGCCTCACCACACATGTTGTTTAGAATCATGCCTCAGCAACACTACATGTGATAGACCTTTGGAGCCATTCACACAATGGAAACAACAGAAATAAAACTTTGAATGCCAAAGGTGTACTGTATTCCTACTTTGCTGCAGTCTAGCTAGGTTGTCAGGGTTGCTTTTAAGTGTATAGAGTTGTTTGCCCCTGCATTAAATGGCACCAGATTGTTACATATTTTCAATTCTTACATCTGTTCCTTTTTTACTTTTTCTGTTGTATGTACCCTTAATAGGCAGTTATTTCTCTCTTTTTTTTTTTTAATATATCTTTATTGATTTCAGAGAGAGGAAAGAAGAGGGAGAGAGATAGAAACATCAATGATGAGAGAGTCATTGATTGAGCCCACAACCCGGGCATGTGCCCTGACCAGGAATCGAACCCGGTCGCCTGGATCCTGGGTCGACACTCAACCGCTGAGCCACGCCCACCCAGGCAGTTATTTCTCTTTGCTTTGCCTACCTTTAGCAGCCCTTCTTTCCATTCAAATTTTATAATACCTAATCTGCTGTGCATTTGGAGGCCAGACCACAGAGATTGTTACAATTATATTTGCATGAAAAGTTAGTAAACCTGGGGCCCTATTGTGAGTCAAGTATATTAATATAGGGACTGGGCTAATCTTGCTCCAGGTAGGTGAAGTTGTTACATTTAGCATTATAATATAGTTATTTTGTTTCATTTATTCTTAAAGTAGTTACTGTTTCTTTTTCTTTTTCCATAGGAGCTTCCATGTACCAGTCTTAAAAGTGAAGGTATGAGTGGGAAGGAGCATGAGGGAGGGAACTTTCTGGGGGTAAAGGTAGTGTTCTGTAGGATTATGTACTTGTCAAAATTCAGCAAAGATACAGTTAACATTTGTTCATTTCATTGTATGTAACTTTTACCTCATAAGAAAAGGAAGAATCATAAATTGAATTCTAATTAGTGAAGTGCTGAAATTTTTAGGGGACACGTACTCATGTTTGCAGCCTACTTTGAAATGCATTAAAAAAAAGTGAAATTGTTGGGTGGATAGAAAGTAGATATGTGGAAAAATAACTAATGATAGAGTCTAGGTAGTGGGCATATGAGTGTTTGCTGTAAAACGCTCATCTTTTTTATATGTTTGAAAATTATTTTATTTTATTTTTTAAAAATATATCTTTATTGATTTCAGAGAAAGGAAAGGAGAGGGAGAGAGAGAGACAGAAACATCAATGATGAGAGAGTCATTGATCAATCTCCCAACCGGGCATGTGCCCTGACCGGGAATCGAACCCAGATTGCCTGGATCCTAGGTCGATGCTCAACCACTGAGCCACGCCTGGCCGGGCTATATGTTTGAAAATTTTAATAATAAAATATTGGTCAGGAGAAGTGAAGGTAAATAATATCTAATAAACTTTTTTTTTTTTTTAAAGATTTTTTTATTGGTTTTTAGAGAGAGAGGAAGGGAGAGAGAGAGAGATACATCAATGTAAGAGTGAAACATCAATCAGCTGCGTCCTGCACACCCCCTACCAGGCTTGCAACCCAGGCTTGTACCCTCACCTGGAATGGAACTGGTAACCTTTTGGTGCATGGAACAACACAGAACCAATTGAGCCACACCAGCCAGGGCTAATGAAGCAAAATTTTTACACAGACTCCGATGCTTGATCCCCTTAAAGTTTGATAGGATATTGGAAACCTGGAACAGGGACTAAGCCAGCAGCCTTCTTAACATTGAATATTATTTCTTCCTTTGTCCTTGATCCTGATGTCCCATTATATTATGGTTCTGTTCCTGTTTTGCTAACCATTACAGTCTTTTGTTTAAGCCACCTTGAAACCTTTTTTGAAAAGTGATAGAAGACAAATGTGTACAAAATAAAAGCTCTTTCTCTGGTCAGGAAGAAAGCTAATTGGTTTGGATGCTTCTGACTGCAAACCCAAGGAGAAGTGACTTTAGCAATAAGTGAGCTTACTGTCTCACATAACAGAAAGTCTGGAGGCAGAACAAGTCCAAGGTTGTTTAATTCTAAGCTCAATGATTCCAAGATTCAGTTCAACTCCTTTATGATTTTCTTGGTTTTCCCCTCATTGGTATAAAGTTAGCTACGTCAATTCCACACATTGAGTTCTGATCCAACAACATATAAAGGAAAGAAAGGGAGATTCTTAAACTTCTCTTTCTTTTTAAGAGCAAGAAGAGTCCTAAAAGGCTCTCAAGCCCTGGCCAGGTGGCTTGGTTGGAGCGTCATCCCATGCACCAAAAAGATTGTGGGTTCTATCCCCAGTTGAGGTGCATGCGGAAGGCAACCAAAGATGTTTCTCACGTCAGTGTTGCTCTGCACCCCCCCTTCTCTCTCTCAAAATCAATGAACATATCCTTAGGTGAGGATTCAAAAAAAAAAAAAGGTTCTCAGTATACTTTATATCACATGCTTCTGCCTGAATCCTTCACTAACCAGGGGAATGGGATTATCATGACAGACTAGACTAGTCAACATACACCTCTGAAACCCAGGAGCCCATGGGCGCCCAATTTCCGAACAAAATTAAGGACCTGTTAACCTGAAGAAGGTGGAGAGTGGCTGTTCAGAAGCTAACCAGAAATATCTGCCTCAAAACCTCAGTCAAAATTTTGATTATTAAAAACATAATTTGAAAAACTTACATTAATGCACTTTGAAAGTGAAAATACACCCTCACCCCATTTTCCCCTGATGAAATCACTATCATTAGTTTGTTGAATATGGGTCCAGATATATTTCTGTGTTCACACAGACATGTACACATGCTAGTATAGTTTTGGTTTCCCCTTTAAACTTATGTTCATACTAAAAATACTGTTTATAATTTGGGTATTTTTCTCCTTGATAATGTGTCAAAGACATTTTTCCATATCAGTGTGTATTGCTCTCTGTCTTACAGAGTATTCACTATGTGGGTATACTATAGTATAGTTCATTATTTGCCCTTTTGGTGGCCATTTAGACTGTCTCCAATTTTTTTACATTACAAATAATGCAATAACCATTTTGTCCTACTTTTTAAAACTTTCACTTATCATGTTTTCAAGGTTCATCCATATTGTAGCACATCAGTACTTCATTTCTCTTTATGACTAAATAATTCCATTGTATAGATATACGTACACAATTTGTTTATCCAGTCATCTGTTGATGGACATTTGGGTTGTTTTCCTCTTTTGGCTGTTGTGAATAGCACTGCTATGAACTTTTTTGTACACAAGTCTTATTTATATAGCTGTTTTAAATTCTTTTGGGTCTATACCTAGGTGTGGAATTGCTGGACCATATGGTAATTTTTAAGAACTGCCATACTGTTTTCCATAGTAGCTATACCATTTTACATTCTCACCAGCAGTGAGGGTTCCAATTTCTCTCTAACACTTGTTATTTCCTGTTTTTATTTTCATTATTATTATTATGTCTGTCCTAAGTGGGTATGACGTGTTATATATTGTGGTTTTGATTTTCATTTCCCTAATGACTAATGATGTTGAGCTTTTTTCATGTACTTGGCCATTTGTATATCTTCTTTGGAAAAGAGTGCTCAAGTCCTTTACCCATTTTAAATTGTATTGTTATTGAGTTGTAAGAGTTCTTTATATATTTTGGATCCTAGGACCTTAGGAGCCATGATTTGCAAATGCTTTCTCCCATTGTGTGTTGTCTTTTCACTTTTTTCCCTTCATTCATCTCATATAGGAGGAGAACACAAGTAAATCCTCTCTCTTCAGGTCATGGCAGTTTTAATTGGTCTCATAAGCACAGCCACTAACATCTGTTATTAGGAGAAAATGTGGGAGTCAAATGGGGAAATCTTTTTACTTTCTTGAAAGTGTCCCTTGATGCACAAAAGCTTTTAATTTTGATGAAGTCTAATTTTTGTTTGTTGTTGTTGTTGCTTGGGCTCTTAGTGTCCTGGCTTTTTCGAAAGTATATCTGTAGGAAGAATTCTTTAAAATGGAAATTACCATTTAAATTTTTAATAGATACATATGTACTCCAAAGGTTTATACTCTTATCCACTAAGTATGCGTGCCTTTTCTCCACACCTTCACCCATACTATATATTAATTAGTCTTCCTGTTTTCTGTTTTTTGACAATCTGACAAGTGAAAAATGGTATCTTATTTTAATGTGCCTTTTCACTATAACATTTTTACCACTTATTTATATTATTACCTTTGTGTTTCTTAAGCCTGTAGTCATATATTTTTTAATGAATGCTTATATCCTTTGTTTTTCTTTTTAATTGGCCACAGCAGATGCTACATTTATGTGTGACAAGCGGTGTAACAAGAAACGGTTGTGTGGACGGCATAAATGTAATGAGATATGCTGTGTGGTAAGTGGACCTATCATTAGACACAATCAGATTGCATTCATCTAGGGGCTGGGCTTCTGGAAGCCTCAGCCATCTGAAATGCAATGGAGATTTAGAAAACACTGGAAAGGGTCCCCTGAGCAGGAGTCAGAGAGCTGCCCAGATCAAACTGACCTCAGTAAGGTTAAAATGCCAGCCAGTGGCAACACAGAGAAAGAGAAAGAAGAAAGACAGAGGCCTCAGGCCCCAGAGCCCAAGATAGTCACTATATGAGCATACAGTTCTCTATAGGAGATTGTGTGCTATCTCAGCACACAAACTGGCCTGTCCTTACCAACTAGGGCTTCAGGTTTCATTTACTCCTTGGGTCAAGTTGGTAGGCAAAATAAGTGTGGCATTTTTGAAAGAAGCAAGTTTTAGCTATCTGAAATACTCACTTCTATGGAACTAAATAAAGGAAGCATTTCGTACTGTGTTATCTTGTTGTTTGTGCATGCCCGTGAGCACATGTGTGTTTACAAGGTAATAGTACAATAGTGAGGTAGTGCATATATACACATATACACACATGTATGTGTGTATATGTATATATATATAAAAAATACATAATTGTTACTTTTAAATTTTATTGACATGAAGAGTGATGGAATTGTACACTATATCAAGACTTATTTATAAACCAGTGTTTGAAGGAAAGGCTTCCTCTTGTTATTGAAAATTTCTAACATATACAATAGCAAAGAGACTAGTCTGAGTCCCATATACCCAGTATCCAACTTTAGTAGTGGTCAGCTCATGACTAATCTTGTTTCATCCACATCTCCACTAACTCCACCTCCCCTGATTATTTTGAAGCTAATCTAGACATTTCATCCGTAAATGTAGAGAGCTTTTTTTTAAATTATTAATCTTGTTTATGGATAATAAAATAGAGATAATTTTGTAAACAAATGTAACTCTCTTCCTAGGATAAGGAGCACAAATGTCCTTTGATTTGTGGGAGGAAACTCCGTTGTGGCCTTCATAGATGTGAAGAACCTTGTCATCGCGGGAACTGCCAGACATGCTGGCAAGCCAGTGAGTGTCTTCACTGTATACTTTATTATAAGAAGTTTTTAGAAACTTAGGCATAATATATTTTGAAAGAATGATATGCTTAGATTAGTATGAATTACTGAACTAATAAGCCTTAATATTTCAGATATATTAAGTTTTTTAAAATAGTTATTCCTAGTGCTGTATTGTTTTCCCTGAATGTACAAAACTTGGGATGTAGGCAGTGATCCTAAGATGGAGTCTGGTTCATTAATGGGTACCTCTTTTGCTCTCTGCCTCTTTATATATTATAGACCCAGGTCCTGTCCTCAGTAATTATTCTTTCTCTATATAGAGGTGGGGAACATCATTATACAGCCCGTGAAATTATTCACTCTGGTCCTGCCAAGGCAACCTCAGGTGGAACTCGAAATTCAGTAAATCTAGGAGCTTTTTTCATAGCCAGTTTTTAAGTTGATAATTTTGTATGGCAAGCAAATGATGTTATAAATATCCAAATGGCCCTTGGCAGAAAAAAGATTCCCCACCCCTTCTCTTTATCAACAATTTTCAACCTTTTTCATCTCATGGCATGCATAAACCAATTACTAAAAATCTGCAGCACACCAAAAAATATATTTTTTGATGATCTGACTAAAAAACAAAAAGGTATAATTTTGATTGATTTACAGTAGGACACAACCTTACGCTACGTGACCAGTAAGATGCAACTCTTATATTACCTATATATTTATGGTTCAAGACAGGGCATTCACACCAGACAGCTATTGTTGTGTTGGCTGTTGTCATTTTTTTGACAGTCTAAGGGAAAAAAGGTCAGTGCCCCTGACTAAATAATCAGGTATTGCATGTTTTAAAAATTCTTGTGGTATATTGGTTGAAAATCACTACTCTATATTATTAGCAGCAGTTTGCAAACTTTTTGACCATAGAACTTATTTGCACTCTTAACATTTATCAAGAACCCTAAAGAGCTCTTTTTATGTGAGTTATAGTTATTAAATTTTCTTTTTTTACTGTACATTCCATTTCCTTTTTGTTAAATTTTCATTTACATTTCATGTCCTTTCTGTTTTTATAGTGTTTGTCTATAGATTAAACAGTACATTAGACATGTACTGTATGTAGAAAAGGTTAAAATGGAATCATTTGGGAGCCTGGAATGGATTAATTCAATTTACATTATTTCTAATGGGATAAAATGATTTGATTTTCAAACAGCCTTCTGGAACAAATTAAGTTTGAGAACTGAGGTTCCAGTGTGTATTTATCATATGGGAAATTAAAACTGAGAAATTTTTAAAATACTGATTTATTCATTTTTTAAAAATTGTAATTATCTATTTCATGCTAACATAAAGAACAATTATTTATTTATTTTAATCCTCACCCGATGATATTTTTTCCATTGCTTTTCAGAGAGAGTGGAAAGGAGGAAGGGAGGGAGGGAGGAAGAGAGATAGAGAGAGATGTAAGAGAGACACATTGATTGGTTGCCTCCTGCATGTACCCCAACCAGGGCTGGGAATTGAGCCTGCAACCCAGCTATGTGCCCTTGACCGGGAATTGAACCCACAACTCTTTAGTGCACAGGCCTATGCTCTAACCAGCCAGGGCTTAAGTTTTTTTTTAATTAACCAATGTCACCCCAATAAATTTAATAAAAATTAAAAAAAAACACAGATTCAAGATTATTTTTTTACTGCTTCATCAAGGACTTCCTTAAGTGAAACTGACATTTTTAAATTTACTCTAAGTGCTTGGCAATGAAAAATACAATGATTATAGTTTGATGCTCCTTCTTTGATTTACACTAAGGCCATGGCAGGTTTTTTTTGCTTTTGCACCAACAATGCAAGTGTGAACATAGTGGAAAAAGTAAATAATATCTTAGTATTATGAAAACAATTTTGACCTTGTGGACTTCCTAAAAGGCTCTCAGGGATCCCTAGGGATCAACAGAGCACACTTTTAGAACTGTTGCATTAAAAGATTGGCCTAAATCAGGGTTTCCCAAAATGTCTTCTCTAGAATGCTAGGCTTCCCTTATTTCAAAAAGGAGTTGAGTCACTGCTTTGGAGTTCTATAATAAAACATACATGGCCCCTTACCCTTTACCTAGCTATTTCACATATATTAGCTCCTCAAAATAAGCTTGTTGAGTGGATAGATCAAAGTTCGGTATTCCCAATTTGATCAAAAGAAAGCTCAGAGGGACTTGCCCACAGTCCCTGAGCAAGTAAGTAATAGGTCTAGGACTAGGAGGACCCTGGGTTTCCAAACTCTAGAGCCCTAGTTGAGAACCATGGCCAAGGGCCTGATCTCTACCAAGGCCCAGAGTTGGAGAACTGGCTCCCCTTGGGTCTAAGGATTAGCACAATTTGACAAAGTGGGCTGCTTGTTAGAGCTGTCCCATGTGAGCTCTAATTTTGATTTGGCTTGTGAACTGTGCCTGATGAACTCAGATATAGCTCTGTGCTTCATTTCAACTTTGTATTTCAAGCACCATAGATGTTGATTATACCTATAAGAATTTCTTGAATGGCTTCAGTGGCTCTCTGGGGTTTATATTCAAATGTATATTTTTATATGTTTGTAAACTACCTGTAGCTCGCATAATCTCTATCCACTTTCCTAACTAAAAGAGTTTTTTTTAAAAAGTGTACCTATAGTGGAAGCCTCCTTGTTCTCTCAAAAAGAGACAGCCTGTAGATCTCTTGTTTATAAAAATACATATAAAACTGTCTTGGATTCATGGTCTTAGAGTTAATTGTAGGTAAAAATGAAACACTTCATATCTGTCTGCTCCTTTGTTATCAGCTCAACTTTCACAAAATAAAAACTTCTTTTTAAAAAAAATAGCCAATTCTTCTCTAGAAATAAAAGCCCAAAAAAGAAAAGAAGTGTATGGGTGTGTGTGTAAAATATGTGTATGCTCATCCCAGACTCATGAAAGGTTATTTTGTTTCACCCACTGCTCCACCAGGTTTTGATGAATTAACCTGCCACTGTGGTGCATCGGTGATCTACCCTCCAGTTCCTTGTGGTACCAGGCCCCCTGAGTGTACCCAAACCTGCGCCAGAGTCCATCAGTGTGACCATCCAGGTGGGTCCCATCCCCTTGCCTCTGTACCTTACAGCCTGCTCACACCATATCATTTAGAATGTTGCATGATGGTCTTCATTGCTCTGACGTCATCCTGTGATGGCACCCCTTACTCCCAGAGTTGTGCGGGGCTGCTTCTGTGGAGGTGGGCCTGTGATTGGTACCACAGCTGGGGATCACAGTGCCCTTCATTGCTTTACTCTGCAGATACCGAACACACCTGAAAAGTCAGAAGCCCTTGCTGGTCTTGTCTTTTAGGGAGGTTTTTTCTTACTTTGTGGCTCCGTCTTTTGGTGCATGTTTCAAAGTTGAGCATCTTTTTACAAAATTAAAAGTAACTTGTGTTTTGCTGTTGTTATAGAAGCAATGTATGTTTATTATATAAAAAGAAAGAAAAAATAGAGATAAAGTCAAAAGATTGAAATATTTATGTTATCTTTTAGGAATTAAACTTAATGTGTATTTTGGGGGACCTTTTTTTATGAGTAAAATTTACATTTGCTTTTTTCCCCCCCTAAAATAAAGGTGGGATTCTCTTGAACTTACTCATTTTAACTAGCATTTTCCCCTTATTATAATTTTAGTCTCTCCTTATCAATGAATATTTTTTACAAAGAGATTTTTTCAATGGCAATGGAGTGTTCTGTTGCATAGGTGGACCATAACTTATTCAGTCGATTTTACATTGCTGGACATTTAAGTTGTTTCCAGTTTCTCTTTGATGGTCTGCTGCAGACACCAGGCCAAAAGCTACTTATTATCACCCATTTTTTCATATCCAAGCTAGTCACTGGTGTTCCTCTAGGACCATATCAGGCCCATCTTTTCATTTTACCTAGTCCCAGAGGCAAACCTGAAATTACTCAAGTCACCAGATTCGATACTTACAGTAACTCTGGCCATCTGATTCAGACTGACAAATAGGCAACTAGTTCTCAATTTTTAAGTTAATAGAGTAAAAAAGAACTAAGTAAATTATTTTTAAATTTATTTTACGTTATTTTTTCATCACCATTTATCCCTTCCCCATACCCTCTTCTCCCTCCACCCACCAGTAAGTTCTTTTTGAAGTGAAAAGTTCCTTCCCTGGGGACCTTAGGATGGCCCTCCCAGCTTAGTCTGCAAGCCCCTGCTGTCGTGTTTACACCAATGTGAAATAAATGCCCAAGCCAATACTCATCCACTCCCTCCTTTACACGCAATTGCAGATGTTACAGATGAAGTCCAAATCCTGCTGGTTAATGTCCATAATATGAGCTTAATCATTTGTGAGTTTTATGGTTTTAGCCTGATTTTGTTCAGCATTCATTTAACTTTTGGGGGGCGGGGGTGTTGTATATCCAGCATGGTGTGAGACACAGAGGGAGGTTTAGAGGAAGAAAAAATATCCCATGACCTTGAGGTTCTTATGTTCTCCCTGAGAGGAAGAGGATGGTGATTTAGTACACATGACACAACTAACCATTACATGAAGATGGGCCAGATAGCATGGCATCAAGCCATCGGCGTAAGAACTAAGACATGGGGGAGTGTAAGAGAGCTCAGGGCAGGGTGTGGTCAGCTAAGGAAGGCTTTGTTGTAGGACATGAGTTTGAATGAACTGCCTCTTACGGGCAGCAAGGAAATTGAAAGGAGTCAGCAGAAGCATATTAGGTGGATGAGTAACAAAGATGTCTGAGCAGAAGTGAGCAGTTGCTGTGTAAGGTAGGGTCAAAAGAATGACTGAGTAGAATGGACAGACCATGGGGCTTAGATGCAGGAAATGGAACAGGAAAGCTGCCTCCCTCTCTGCTTCTGTGTTTGGCATGTCTGTCCCCCTCAGTTGGGTTTCTTTTTCTCACTCATGCTCATCCTTCAACACTTTAACATAAAACCAGCTACTTTTTACTTTCCTATAACCATTTTTAAGAGTACTCTAAGTTTAAAAGAGATTAATCAAAGAACTGATATGCCTATATGCATAACCCATGGACACAGACAATAGTGTGGAGAAGGCCAGGGGTGGGGGGTGGAGGGGATCAGTGTGGGGAAAAAGGGGGTAATCTGTAATACTTTCAACAATAAAGATAATTTTTTTTTAAGTTCCCTGTTATATGCCATTATGACATGTATAATAGTTTATGTGGCTTTATTTAAACATTGTTCCTAATTTTACCTCTCTCTTTCTATAGTATATCATTCTTGTCATAGCGAAGAGAAGTGTCCCCCTTGTACTTTCCTAACTCAGAAATGGTGCATGGGCAAACATGAGGTAAGTTTTCTCATGTTCATTATTTCAGCCAGAGGTTTATTTTTATTGAATTACTTTGAATTGTTAGTCTCATTGTTTCTCAAAATTAATACTCCCAAGAAGCAGAAGTTTGCTATTGACACTTTTTTAAATTAAGGTATAGGTTGTGTAACTATATACTATACATATATTAGGAAATAATGTCCTAAAGGGTAATGTAAATATAACCAAGTCTTCGGGGCAGGGGACAGAGGGCACAGAATGTGCAAAAATTATTCCCAGCGCCCTGGTAGTAGAGTAAGTTTTTAATGAGTGGGAACTACAATCTACCAAAATACTGATTCCAGAGTGTTACAAGCATTTATACCCTAGTCTTCAGAGTCTTCTTCAAGAGTAATAGTTATGTGTCACTAGAGCCAAAGTATATTTCTCATTTTGAGAGTACTTGAAAGAAGTTGAGTGATTATATAAAAGTAACCTTTGGTTTCACAGCAATAAAATTCCTGCATCTTTTTCCTGGAGTGAGGGATCCTGGAAGGAAGCAATTTCTAAGAAAAAATGAGTTGGGGGTTACATGGCCTATTGATTTTTTTTTTTAAATTTTTTTTTTTAATATATCTTTATTGATTTCAGAGAGAGGAAAGGAGAGGGATAGAGAGAGATAGAAACATCAATGATGAGAGAGTCATTGATCAAGCCCGCAACCGGGCATGTGCCCTGACCGGGAATCGAACCCCGATCGCCTGGATCCCAGGTCGACGCTCAACCACTGAGCCACGCCCGGCCGGGCCTGGCCTATTGATTTTTAACTTTTTAAAGACAGAGCTATGTAAAGCTGTGGAGACCATGAGTTAGGAAAGTTGAATATTTAATTACATAAAACAGTCCTCTCCTGGCCAGGTATCTCGGTTAGAGCGTCATCCCGATATGCCAAGGTTGTAGGTTCGATTCCCTGTCAGAGCTCATACAAGAATCAACCAATGAATGCATAAATAAGTGGAACAACAAATTGATCTCTCTCTCTCTCTCTCTCTCTCTCTCTCTTCCCCTCCCCCTCTCTCTCAAATCAATAAAAAACAACAAAAAACAGCCCCGCCAGTAGTCTTGAAACTATGGACCATCGATCCCCCTAGGGGCTCTCAGGATTGTCAACTCAGTGCCCTAAGTGTTTGCAAAGGACCGAAAAGATTATCTGATCCTCCCAGTTGGTCATAACATTTTCAAATACTCCCTAGTTACGTGGCTTCACATGCTTGTTACCCACCTTGGGAAGTTTATGTCCCAGGTCACACTTGGCTATTCCCACACATCCTTTTGGGTCCTAACAAGCATTATTAAATAAGGTTCAGAATTGGTTTTTTTTTCAAACTAACTTTTCAGACTTTGAAAATCGGCCTAATTTTTTCAGATAAAAATAACTTTTTGAAAAAAAGTTCATTTTGAAAGTTTAGAAATGTTTGGATAGGAAGTTAAAACTCATCCCAAATCCCACATGGAGATGAGAATCTGACTACTTCTGTGTTTCCTAGTTACGAAGCAACATCCCGTGTCACCTGGTTGATATCTCTTGCGGATTACCCTGCAATGCTGCACTACCGTGTGGGATGCACAAGTGTCAGAGACTTTGTCACAAAGGAGAGTGTCTTGTGGATGAGGCCTGTAAGCAGCCCTGCACCACCCCCAGAGCTGACTGTGGCCACCCGTGTATGGCACCCTGCCACCTCAGCTCACCCTGCCCCATGACTGCTTGCAAAGCCAAGGTGTGTATTCCTGGCTCCAGATGAGGCGTTGACTCTGGTTCTGGGGCTGCTAATGAATGAGTCCAGTACTGCCTACAGCGCTTCCTGGGCACACATCCTAATCAGAGGTCATTGGTTCCAAGAGACTACAAGTTAAGTTGGCAAGAGAAAGGTGGAATAAATTGTATAGATTTCTTTTGGCCCACCTTGAGATGGCCTTTTAAATATATAAGGGTCTGTTTTGTGTAAGATGTTGTGCTAGGTGCTGGGACTATACCAGTGAACAGGAGACACATGGTCCCTTCAATTAGATGGGAGAGATACTCACTAATTAATTACTCAGATAATTATGAATGTTGTAAGTGTCATAAAGGAGTATGACACCTTTGTAGAGGGAGCTATGAGAGTATGTGAGAAGGGCACTAACGTGGTCTGAGGGATTAAGCAAGGCCTCCCTGAGGAGGTGAAAGCAGCAGGATGAGGTATAGTTGGTCCTGGGTCAAATGTGTACCTCTGGTTCACTGGTAAAAACTCCATCCTAGGCCTGTCCTTTTAGATGGGATTAAGGACAAGGGTAGTTCCCAGAAAGGGGCATGTCAACTACCACATAATCAGTTTGCATGTGTGGTTAACTTCCTCCATCCCGGAGGGAAGCCCCTCACTGTCTCTGTTCTCTGCCATGGTTTTTTTTGAAAGAGGCTTTAAAAGTGAAAGCTGCCTATTCACATGGTTTCCGTGTACTAAAAGTCTCTCCATGTTAATCTTATTTCAGATTGAGCTGCAGTGTGAATGTGGAAGAAGAAAAGATATCATGATTTGCTCTGAAGCATCCAGTACTTATCAAAGGTAGCATGATCTAAATGGTAATAATTGGTGGATCTAGGTAAAGAGAATACATGTATTTATTGTTGGATCCTTGCAACTTTTGTAAATTTGAAAAGTTTTTAAAGTAAATTTTCTTGAATTTTGTTTTTCTTGTTCAAAGAAAAGGTACTACTTTATGTACCTTTTCTTCCTGAACTTTAATTTGTAAAGTAGCCTCTTTATTTCTCCTCCTCCTCTTCCTCTTTCCTTTTTGTTCTTATTACACCATGAGATCAGAAGGAGAAATGTCCTGAAGTTGTGTGAATTGCTTTAATGCCCTACCACTTGTGACACAGCTAGGACCAAGTCCTGTGCTCTTCCCCTGGTGTGGGGGTTTCTGAATGTCCTTGCAGCCTCCAGAAATCTTGGGACCCATTTGTTCACACAGGGATCTGAGTACAGAGATGAAGGTGTTAGGAATGGATGGTTGTGTGTATCTGATTACATGCAGAGATGTACCATGGAGATAGGACTCTAGGAGTATGCAGACATCAGAGTGACTGTGTTTGGATACTCCCAGAATGCCAGGCATTGGCCTGGATGTTTAAGTGGTACTGAGGAGTAGATTACCGTCCTGTGGAACTGCTTTAGAATTTAATTGAGGAGATATGACATAAGGGTGTAAGTAGTTTCTAATAGATGGGCTTTCAAGCCCACACAAATTGTTGAGTGGTAGATAGTCCTTGAAAGAAGTCTTCTCTGTGCCTAGTATGAGGAGGTTCTTGTGAAACTAATGTCTTTTCTTCCCTTTTTTATACTTCAGAATAGCTGCTATTTCCATGGCCTCTAAAATAACAGACATGCAGCTTGGAGATTCAGTGGAGATCAGCAACTTAATTACTAAGAAGGAAATTCACCAAGCCAGGTAATTTTTTAAATGTGTGGCTATGCCTTCTTTTTCCTATTAGGCTTAATTTCCAGAGGGCAGGAACAATTCATTTCTCAATCCCTCACAGTATAGCCTTGTATACATAGTAAATGTTCAACAGACATTTGATATTAAGAGTCACACACAATCCAATCCAATGAATCTTACTCATTGTATAGCTGAGACCAGAGGAGACTTTTCTAGGCCTTACTCCAGCAAGTAGCCAGAGGAAGCAGAGGCATAGATGTGTCCATCTCGACCCACTGGAGAACAGAGAACCAGAGTGGTAGCTATGTCAGGAGGCGGAGGTAGCACTGGGAGCATTTTGGGGGGCTAAGCTGGCAGGGGACACTCTGAGGCCCTTCTGAGGATTGCTAGACTTTCATAACCCAGGGGCCTACCCACCTTTCCTTGAGAAGGACCTCATCCAGCCATCCTCTGGCCTAGAGTCTGCTCTGTTTCCAGGTTGACTGACTAAGAGCTTTATTGCTAGATAGAAACTGTGAAACCTGTGCCCTGACTTTATTTTTTTCATTTCTCAAGGTTGGAGTGTGATGAGGAGTGTTCAGCCTTAGAAAGGAAAAAGTAAGTAGTGTCAGCTGCTGTTTATCTCATTGTCCTTGAGCTCTGTGAAACTAGTGGGAGGGAGCAGCCCCTCAAGCATTCACTCAGTACCTGCTCCTAGTCTTTTGCTGCTATTGGAGAGCAGGAGAAATTTGATCATCAAGAACTGAAGTATCTAAGGATAAACCACTTAACACGATTTCAGCATATTTCCGAAACATGAGCTTATGTAGTTTTGGGCATGGTGTAAACATCGCATGCCGTACAGCGTACTTGTTCATGACTAGCAGACTTCCTGATTCCACTGGAGGTAAGAGGCTTAAAATTTTTTTAATGAACTTTTATGTTGAAGCGTAATATACATACAGAAGATCAGAAGTACACAGATCAGTGAGTCATAACAAACAAAGTAAATAATGTTATAATCAGCACCAGCTCAAGAAATGGAAAGACAGAAACAGACAAATACAGACAAAGTATAGTTCTGTTTTACGTTGAAGTTGGACTTTGAACAGTTGTTCACAGTACCCTTCTTTAAGTGGCTATATATGTAGAAGGTAATATGATGATTAATAGCACTGACAAATTTCCCTTGGTTTGACCCCTATAACTTTGTAATAACTGCTGTTCAAAACTCTTGCTCTTTGAGAACCATCAGTTACAGTGTTCTCAGCTGCAAATTGTGAACTAAGAGTCCTGAGTATTCAGAAATGCTGTAATGAAAACACAGAAGGTCACATCACAGGCAGTTGTGGGGGCCATTTGAAACATGATTACTAAGGGTCTGAGGTCCATACTGTTTAACCCAGTAATCCCACACCTGGAAACATTTTCCAGAGAAATAATCTTAAAAGCTTTTTGCTCAAAGATATTAATTGTGTCATTTATAATATTGAGAAACTAGAGAACTGTTAAAGAACCCTAAATGAGGAATGTTTAAGTTGTGGGATATACATAATTGGAGGATTATGCAGCTCTTAAAACAGTATGTGTGAAAACCAAATAGTAATGTGAGGAAAGCTAATCATATAATGATGGGGCGAAAAAGATGCAAAGTTTTATATACACTGATTTCAGTGTATTTATGGGGGGGAAATCTGAAAGGAAATGTATTAAAATGCAGTGCTTATGTTGTTAGTAGAATTCTTTATTTTCCAGACTTTCTAAATGTGATATTTATAGACCCACTTAATGTATCTGATGTGTAGGTGAAACCTCAAAGAATGTCATCCCACATTGATCATTTCCAATGCTCTCAATCCCCCAGCCTTCTCTTCACCAAAAAATCTAAGTCCCCCATCTTAGCCTATGGCTTATTCAGACCCACATAGATCTGTCTTGTTTATTTTCTTCTATGAAGACAATATTATATCTATTCCCAAGTTGTTATTATTCCTTCCTTAATAATCAGGTTTACTGAAATGAGATCATTAATGTGTAAAGAACTTAGGACATGGTGAGCACTCTGTGTTACTATAAGATAGTTTTCACCCCCTTTCTTTTATTTACATACTTCTCTCTTACTTTCAGGCAGTTAGCAGAGGCATTTCATATCAGCGATGATTCTGATCCTTTCAATGTACGTTCTTCAGCATCAAAATTTAGCGACAGTTTGAAAGAAGATGCCAGGTATGTAACTTGTTACCTACTTTCTTTTTTTTCTTTTTTTTTTTTAAATTGAGCTGTATTATTTTTTAATCCTCACCATATTTTTTCCATTGCTGTTTCAGAGAGAGTAGAAGGGAGAGACACAACACACACACACACACACTCTCTCTCTCTCTCTCTCTCTCTCTCTCTGACTGGTTGCCTCCTGCATGTGCTGGGGATCTAGCCTGCAACCGAGGTACATGCCCTTGGCTGGTATCGAACCCGGGACCCTTCAGTCCAGGGGCCAATGCTCTAACCACTGAGCCAAACCGGCTAGGGCGTTATCTACTTTCTTAATTGTGGCTTACAAGAGTGTTTGGTCTTTTATGATGTAACTAATACTCCTCTGTGATTGAGCCAGTTAAAGTTTATATATCTATTATAGGAGATTATATGATATTTAATAAAAATCCTTCTCTCAGTTTCTCAGAACTATCCCCTTATAGAATTGAACTTGGAATGTGTGTATGTGTGGCCCTATGGTAGGAGTTTGGGACTCCCTAGGGCTGGACTAGCCTAAAATCTCTGGACAAATTCCAACTTTGTCCACCCAGGTCTCAGTCACAGGGATCTTCACTTGAGCAGTAACAGCTCTTATTTTCCACCTATTTCCTGGCCCTCCACTGGCTATTTCTTCTTCCATCTTCTCCTTTCTCATATTTTTTTTTTCTTTTTCTCTTTCTTAGTTTGATCACAGTCAGCATTCTGTTATCTGACAGTTCCTAACCTCTGCAGTTTTTCTGCCCACATTGTCCATTGTCTGTGCTTTATAAACAGAGAGGGTGGGCAGGAGGGATTTTCAAAGAGCAGGAACAGATGAAGTTGACTGTAGTGATTTCTCATTTCAGGAAGGACTTAAAGTTTGTCAGTGACGTTGAGAAGGAACTGGAAGCCCTTGTGGAAGCCGTGAATAAGGTTGAAGTCAAAACATCCAATTGGACGTGTCTCTAAAGCCAGCTTGATAAAAAATCAAGCCCCAGAAACTGTTGGTGTAGAATAGTTGTAGAAAAAGTCACAACTTCCTTTTGAGGATCCTATCTTTCCCCAAAGCCCAGCCATAATAATATCCACAGAAGCCCTGGCCTGGTTCAGGAAAGATACCTGCAGTCAAATTACGTGTAAATAAAAATCCTAGTTCAGTGCCTAAGAATAGGTGAAGAAACCTGGACGAGGGATTTCAGTAGTAATAGTTGAATGAATGTGTGAGATAATTAGGGAAATAGACTGGGCCTCAGATCTCTGAAGGGCTGTTGTATAATAGGACACACTAGTTCTTTATTACCCCAAAGGCAGGAAAGAAACGCTTTGGTAAAGATAAAAAGGTAAATGACTAGAGCTGAAGAGTAATGGCATAGACTCCCTCAGGAGTCTCAAGGGAGAGAGACCTCTGTCCTGGAAGCAGCCAGGGATGTTGAGGAGGTAGCTTGAAGCAAAAGAAGTCTTTTAGTCAGAAGCAGCCAGCCCCTCAGTGGCTCCCTGTTCATTCAGTGGGGACTAGAGTGAGGATGGGATGCTGCTTTAGTTCATACCTAATGAAGTTTCCTTCCCACCATCTGTCTTGCCCCCTTCCCTTCCTCCCTTTGTTCCTACTTCCCAGCAGGATACTAACACAAAGGAGGAATGGAGTCATTTTTCCTCTCCTAATTAAGAAACCTGAGCAAATGTATTTCTTTGCTTGTGTGTCTGTATGTGCACAAGCATGATTTTTAGTGCAGAATGTACTTTTATAGGAAGTGAGATTTTCCTGTTTTGTAAGTCTTAAATTTATTTAGTCATTTCTTAGGATTATCACTCACCCCCTACTTATAGGCCCCCTCAGGAGGAACCATTCACTGTCTAAGTCTTAGTTCACTTACCCTTTGTCCCTAACCCTGCGCAGCTGCCACTGTATGGCTCACAAGTAGATGAAGTGCATCAGCCCTCATCCTTCCAAACCACTTGGCTGGCTTGGGAGTCAGTGAAATGCCCTGCACTGTAGGCCTCTAAAACTCAGCCTCCTCTCTGTTGACCCAGGCTGTTCTGGAGGGAGGGTAGGACCTTTGTAAACATATTTGGTTTTCAAGATGATTTCATCAATCATTTTCTTTTCCCTTAACACAGGGAAAGAATAGTAAGAAGAGCCACTTCTTCCCTCCCATGAACAGAGACCACCGCCGGATCATCCACGACCTGGCCCAAGTGTACGGCCTGGAGAGTGTGAGCTATGACAGTGAACCGAAGCGCAACGTCGTAGTCATTGCAGTCAGGTGGGCTGATCTTGCCATCATAGGAGGAGCTGCTCAGTGGGGCAAACTGGACCTGAGAAGCAGAGTCTGTCAATATTTGCTTTCCTTACTTCCTCTCCTGGAAGAATAGTTGGAAAATTGGCTTCTGGGACAGCCATTCTGAGATGGTCTGAAGGTCCAGAGAGCAAAGCCTCAGTCCACAGGACAGACCCATCTAAAGAATATGAGCCTCGGGTCTGTCCACATCCACATCCATCACTGGCGGAAGCATTCCTCGGGCTGAGGAAACAGACCCTGAGGGCCTGGGTTGGGTGCCTACCCATCACATCTGTCCCTTTTTCCCTTCTGTCCTGGCATGATGGAAACAGAAAGAATGCTGGACTGTGACTCAAGGTGTTTGCCATCAGAGGAAACTGGGGCAGTAATGTGAGACAGGAGGGGACAAGGAGGATCTAGGATCAAGTGTGAGATGAGAAAAAGCAAATAACCAGTCCAGCAGAGGTGGGCGGAAGGGGCGAGGGTTAAATGAAGGTGACCATGTCTGAGCGGAGACAGGTCCTATCAGAGAGTGCTCAGTAGCATCGTAGTGCCAGAGTCATGGACTGGATTTCCAGCTATCTGCCTATCTCCACAAACAATTCTCACTTTTCAATATTTTGTGTTTTGACTTTTATCAGAGGGAAGTCTGTTTGTCCTTCTACCACGCTGACAGGTATACTTGAAAAGGAAATGCAGTCACGGCCTCCACCACCAATTCCTCATCACAGACAGTCAGACAAGTAAGAATTCTTCAGCTGCTTTCCAGAGGGCCCTGTCTGTTCAGAGAAGCCATCAGGGCTGAGCTGTTCTGGGCTGTACCAGCCATTGGCAGCCTCCTGAGGCCTGGCCTTAGGGCACCGTGTTCAGATATGTAAGGTTTGACTGGATGTCAGACACATTTGTCATGCCAGAGGGGTCCCAATTTGATGTTTGTTATGCCCACTTCCCCTCAAGGATAGCAGTCATGACATAATTTCCATGGTGTAGATGGAGACACTGGAAAGTGGATTCAGCCTGTCACACTAGATGATATAGGAACATCATGCAGTTCACAGCAGTTACTCTGGATGGAAGTGAGATTGATGGGGGGAGTTGTCAGTAAAGAGGGGGACTTTCCTGGTTTGCTCTACTTCCTTTTTTTTTTTTAAATTACCTTTTTTTTTTTTTTTTTAATATGTCTTTATTGATTTCAGAGAGAGGAAAGGAGAGGGAGAGAGAGAGACCGAAACATCATTGATGAGAGAGTCATTGATCGAGCCCACGACCTGGGCATGTGCCCTGACCTGGAATTGAACCCCGATCGCCTGGATCCTAGGTCGATGCTCAACCGCTGAGCCACACCCGGCCGGG